CTGACGCGTCTGCCTCCGCGACCCGAAAGGAGAAGCGGCGATGGAAGATGAAGATGATGAAGATGAAGGATAAAAAATTGAGATTCTGGAGGAGTGTTGGGTAACCTTTCAAGGGTATTTTTAAGAGAGTGAGCAGGCTAAAAAAATGCTAGGAATCAAAGTTGACTTTGGCATCTAGGTTTGTGCTCTAATCGACTTCTCTGCCAATGATGAGTTACGGACAGTCATATATATATACCGGGTAGAGTATGCTAATACAATGGGCAGAATAATAACTTCTGAATGCAACTTACAAATCAGCCTACCGTACGGTGAATTGTACCGCTGTTTCCCAGCAGCCTTGATTTCAAAATTTTATCAGCTGAGTCGGCTTTTCAAGTCTTGCGCTTGATATGAGTTTCAGCAAGTCTGTAAAATTGGGAAGCAGTCTGCCTGATAATATGAATATTTAAAACCTTGCTTTTAGGTACATTGTTTTATTTACATTTACGCGATTTGATACCGATTTAATCATGGTGGTAATTTAGGAATTCATCTACATCATCAGCATGTCGTCAACGGTTTTGTCATATTTTCGGTTGTGTCAGGCTTGGCGTCGTATTTTTTTGAACCACAATGTGAATCTGCGGCCCGTGGTTTTGCCTGTCACTTCTAAAGTGCTCTTTTCTACACAACTTTTTCCAAAGCGAAAGGATTCTGCGCTGAGCTCGATCGTCAGTTCGCAACATTCTTCATCTAAGAAGTACAGAAAGTTCGCGGAAAAACTCAAACTGTACCTTCGCCTTATGAGAGTCGATAAACCAACGGGTAACAGCATTTTGAACTTAGTACCGTAGAAGTAGTAGTAATTTGCGTAAGTCGACGAATGAATGAAAAGTTTTAAATGAAAGGACATTCGAAATGAACAGTTGACGTATTTCAATGGCAATGAGGTGACGTATTTCATTGCTTAAATATGAGGAAACTAACCATACTTGTTCGACATGAAAGATTGTTTAAAGTTTCTCAAATCGCATATCATCCTGAGGCATACTGTTTCGTCATCGTCATTAAAGGGCAACGGAACTGAAACTGCTGAGTAACGGAAATTTATCACGTTTGACTATTATAACTGTTATTTCAGATTGACACTACAAAACGCTTACTGTTGCAGAAAGGGTCATATTCCATTTCGCAAGTAAATCTACGTTAATGAGGTACTTCCACAGTGCATGTATTGTTCTCGAATATATCTACTTTCGCTTGGTCATTCTCATTTGGGAAAAATTTTAAAAATATCTACGGAACCGTTTCATTAAACCAAGCAAAGCGTTGTTCATCTGATACATTTCTCATACCGCTGGTTAACAGCATTGCGCGATCGTGAATCAGTGGTACCATCGCATGCTGATTTTCCTTCGGGGACAAAGTTTCCGCAAGTATCATGTCGTTTAAGGATCGCAGATATTTCGAGACTATGCAACGGAAATATAATCAAAATGACCATCGTATCGATTCTTATATTTTGTTTCGTTTTTCTGTGTTGTACGGCATATCGAAATTTGCCGATGTCAGTCCATTTCTCCGATCCACTTAAAAATCAGTATCATCATTTTCAGCCAACCCGGTTTCACGGCGTATTTTAGATAGTCAAAAATTTCCATCGTAATAATATTCCATAGCATCCTTATTTGTTCAGAACTATCTGGAGTGGTCTGCATAGGCCCAACGTCTCCGCTGTATGGTTGATCTCTGTATTCGCAACTTTTTATCATTTTGCTATTAGGCATCGGTTTCTGCATTGTAGAAGAAAGTATTCTTCTCCGAAAACAGATGTGCCTCTGCACTGTTGCGCAGTATTGCAAGTTGGCCACCTGGTCGATAACGGGTGCTTTCATAATCCTTCCTCTTTTTTTGCATTTACTTCTAACCTTACTTCTTCCGCAGTTTCGCCCACGTCTTCGATGAGTGACAGAGGGCCACTTGCTAAGACCCTCACTGTCAAGATGTCGAAGTTCATTAGGAATATCGCTGGGTATCTTGAGCTGCGTCGCTGACCTACGATCAGTCCCTCGTTGTTACTTTGGACGACGCGTTTCCGCATAACGTAATCCACCATGACATTACAACAACTAGAGAGTACATCGCCTTGACGAACTTCACTATTGACTCGGTTCCGCTGATCGAATTTGATTGTTCTAGTCTTAGCATATGTTCTTAGTTCTTAGTCTTAGCTTCTTGTTCTTATGGAATGGCCTTTTCCTTGATTATGGTAGAATGGCCGAAAAACTGGTTGTTTATCACAGTGAGGAACATGGCTGTTTAACAGTTGAAAAACGTGTTAAAATTGACAAACGACACGCGGATCTAAACGAATTTTAGCGGAACCGAAATCTCTCAGCTCCGTTACTTTGATGAGTTCCAATAAGATTCACTGGCTGGTATCAGTCTATCACCTTATAGGCCACAATGCCATTTTATCAGCGTTATATAAAATAAATCAATTTTTGTGCCTTTATTCATTATTTCATTATTACCACTAACGCTCTCGATTATCCTGTCAGTTTTCTGGGATTTACGTGACTTAACCTCACTGTCCCATTGCTCCTAGTGATCCACACGGCCGTTTAAGCAGGTTTCTGCTTTATGGTATTTTATAACTTACCTGCAGTGCATGGGCACAAAGTCGCAATACGTTGTTGAGTCGAATGAAAACATGTTCGAACACCAACGGATATACTAGTACCTTAAGCATAAATAATGACCATTAGCAGTTTATTAGCTAGCACGCGAGAATGTCAGGAAGCTATACGAAGTATGGAATATTCACCGTCTTAGAGATGCTGCTTTGCAGCATTCTACTGTCCCGAAAATTTGTCTGTGAATGAGCGATGGTGCATCGGATCATGAACAAGCCAGTACTGACGGCCAGCTGTCATACAATACCGTTATGACACTTCAGATATCACCATATAGCGAGTCACAGACATAATGGAAACCTGTTCAATACTTTCCTCACGTTAAGCGTCCACTTCCCTCAAATCGGTGGAAGAACTATGTAAAAATTGGAAACCGCTCACATGGACTTACATGTGAAGGACTGTGAATTAACCGCTTCAGTGCTCAACACTTTCCATGAAGTTTAAGCACTAGTTCGTACAGTTCAGACATTATTAATCTAAGTACTTTTCTTGGCTCAGCTTTGGTAGCCGTAGATGACAACAATGGCATCTGGTATAGTCAGAAAACTTCCTTCAGACAACTACAGTTATGCTGATGTACCAGAGACCGGTATCGCAGTGAAATACAATCATTTCATATTCCTTTGAGCCTTTCCCTACACAGACAGGTCGAACAAAATTGCTAAACACACGAAACGCCCTCGATTACTTTCTGAGTAAGCGTAACGTTAAATGTGAGGAACCCTCATTAATGAAGATGCCGTAATTACAAATCGTGTTACTGTCGTTATTGTAATAAATTAGTAATTAACCAGTAAATAGAACGAAAGTTTTCATGAGCACGTGTGTCGCTAATCGCCAATACGTGACTTTACTTGACTTTGCCATCTAGGAGCCCTGCTCCTATTTTGGCCATGTACTTGGAGCATCGCACTCGCTGCCGCCCCTGGTGTTCTACCGGATGTCAGACTGCTAGCCCTGTTTGCGGTCGGCTCATTCTGCATGCGCTCCGCTGCCTGCATAGTGAACGACATTATCGACAAGGATTACGACAGGAAAGTTAGTAGTTTTGTCACGTTTTATTGTGTTGCTGTTGCCATTTGCCCATCGAGGTTGTGACAGTAGTAAAGCTTCATTGCAATAACAAGTTTGACCGTAATTGTGAAAAAAACTGAACTGACCGTGGAAAGTGCAATTTTCTTTTTGTCGAAGCTTTGATTATACATCTTTTAATTGATTTATTCATGGTTAGTTTCATTTGTTCATTCACTCGTACCTTCGTTCATACCTTATCCATTCATACCTTATCGATTCGTTACGGTAGTTCGTCATTTCTGCTGTTCGTTTATTCATTAATTTATTGATATCATTATTTTTTCATTTATACATTGATTCCTTCGTTCTTCTCATCATTCTTCATTTGTGCATTAACTAATCTATTCATGCAGTTTTTTACTGCCAGCTCTACTACGTAGATCGAATAAACTTTGCGGCTGACATTCCAAGGCGCGCTAGTGTCTCATGTTCCTTCTGACTGAGCCGTATCACAGTCGGTTTGTCTCTCAGCTGCCTACGTTGCGAATCTCAGCTCATTTAGAATTTCGATCGCATTTCCAAGCTGTCTCAACTGTAACTTTTATATCTGGATTACACTAAGACTTACTGTTCGATTTCAGCTCCTTTATGCTAGCCATTATGCTTATCCTTGCCGTTCGTAAACTAATTAACCTAAATGAATCAGTAGTGTATTTATATAACTAAATCGGATTACGTCTTAAATGTCGAAACAAAGCTTGGGATTGGATTCCCACCACGAAAAGAACAAACATTTATGTGTATACCTGAATTAATTATTTGCTCAGGATTTATTAATCATGAATATAAATTTCAGGTACTCAGGACCAGTTCTAGACCGTTAGCGTCTGGTCAGATATCCACCATGCAAGCAACGAAAGTCCTCGCTGTTCTCCTTAGCTGTTCATTATCCGCTCTTCTTCAGCTGAACTGGCACAGGTACGGTGTTGCGTTTGTTTTGGCGCGTTGG